TAGCAGCATTGCAGCCATGAGACAGAGGCAGATTCATTATATCATTTCTATTTGATGAACAGCATATCCATTTTTAAGAATTCTGAGTGTTGTCTATATAATAATTATTGTAATCATAGAAAATATTCATCCTGGGTGTGAATGATGAATGGGAGAGGAAGTTAGGGTGTCTACAAAAAATAATGAGTTTTGTTGTGATTCATGCCCAGCAGTACAAGGAAATATATTAACACATTGACTTTCATCAACTTATTTTTAACCATCAGAAAGGTTTAGAAATAAAAGAAAAATAACAGGAGAACACAGACCATAAAGTAATTTAGAGTTGAATGTCAGACTGCAAGTTGATATTGTTTTTCCTTGTTCTGAGTGCACATTTAACTTTTACAGCATTTTCTGGGATTTCAAAATAATGTTTCTGAATTTAAATTCTTCTATGAAATAGAAAGACAGTAACATTCACATTCTATTGATTGAAGCTGCTAGTCTAGAGAGTCCAAATTTCTTTTTCTCTGTGAACATTGGACCAGTGAAAAATGAAACTTAAACTGACATGTTTATTTTGCCTAAGAATAAGCAGCACAAACTATGAAAATGCAGAGAATAAACCCAAGCACTCTGTGTGTATAACTATGGGGTAACCAAAACCGGAGGCTCTATTCTAATATTGTAATATCAAGATATTTTTAAATTCCAATAAGAATCTTAGCATTTCTGAGAATATAAAAAAAAAGGAAAAATAATAGTTTTTATACATGTGCATTCTGATTTTTTAGAAGCAATTACGAACTTTTAGTGACACAGCAAACAACAGTTTTATCCCTTCTCAGGTGCCTTGGGTATACTGAATAGGAGGCTCTGCATTATAACAGTGTATGCAAAGTGACTAAGGTTAATTGTATAATAGTTTACATTGAGTTACAGATGGGAATAAAATTCAAGAAATGTTCAGTGGCTCAGTTTAGTATTCCTGTATTTGAAGCAACTATATTGGGACTCTATTCAGAGAAATAAAATCCTTTAATGGTTTTCAGATTCCTTTCAATTTCAACTTTAATCATGCAGCCAGCTCATGTCTTAAAGATTAATCTGAAGAGGACAGAAAATGTGGAAAATAATGGAAGATAGGTGGAAATTGAGATATATATCGTGTCTTCCAGTTGACAGTCAGAAACTATAATACCAAGACCTATTCTGTCTGCATACTTTAGAATTTGTTTTGTTCTTTTTTATCAATAGGAATGTTATATATACAACCACATTTAGTTAACAGTACATCTTTATCACCCAGGGGGTGGACTGAAGGATATATTTATTGAGAGCAGCCACCCAAGCAGAGTAAGAGCTCTTCAAATATATTTTACATATATATATATTCTTTACATATACATATATATATATATTCTTGCAATATCCCAATGAAGCAAAGAAATATTTTTGCTCTTGATCACTATTAAGGAAGCATACATTAAAAAATTACACAATAATGTCTGGGATAGATGTGAGAACAGATGCTATAGCCTTCCCAAATCCAGGCCATACCCAAACCCTAAAGACATCATCGACACTTCAGTTACTTTGCTCTGTTTCTCCTTCTTTCAGTTGTTCTTTCATACCACTTAGCTTCTCTCTCAAAGCTGCAGGATAAGGGAACAAACTCTTCTCCAGCCAGCTCTATGTGAAGTCATAGGATCTAAATAACTGTTAAATGCATGATTTCATCAAGTAAAGGAAAATAATAGTGTTAAAGATCTTAATGTAAAGCCAAGGACTCTCCAGTTACAGAGGAGGAAGCTAGAAGCTTTTCTGGGTCTAAGATGAGACATTGTGAAGCACCAACATAGGTTATTTGCAACTTTGCTAGATTGTTTCTGTGGATAAATACATCATTTAAGTTTTCAAGTCTAACAGCTTCCCTGATATGAAATTCAGAGAAAAAAATAGTCATTTATCTGCTATTCTCCTGCAGCATGTGTTTCTCCTGAGAACTCTTCTGAATATGAAAACACAATATTATAAAAATTCCAGGATTGTGGTTCTAAATCTCTTGTACTACTGGCATTTGAGGGAAGCTGTCATTTATATAAAATGTCTGAACTCTGTGTCACTCCTGGTATACACAGATACAGAGCAAAGTTTGGTCCAAATCTATTGTACAACCATTATCTCATTTGATTTTTTAAAAGAGCATTTGCATCAGTGTTTTGCATTAGTGCAACTCAGGAATAAAGGTAATGGAATTCCTAAAACTAGTGTAAGTAGAAAGTAAACCAGTGTCTGGGTCTGTAGCAGGGAGCATTCACAGTCACAGCCCTTGAACAACACCTCCAAAGAAACAGTCCTTAAGCTGCTTGTCAGGGGTTGTATATGCACTAAAGACATTCACTCCTGAAATGCTTTTAGGTTAATACCCTTGACAGAACCATGATATCATCTAATCTTCACTGTTAACCATTAAAAGCAACAATTTTAATGTCAAGGGTTCTGCATCAACATAGCGTAGCAAATTCAGTGGTAAGAAATACTTTGAAAATTAAGAGTATTTTGTTATTTGTTGGATCAAGACGACAGTTGGTAGTAATTTTTGATCACTCTGTGTAAGTCTGTCTTAGATATCTTTTCTTTATCATAATCCCTAAAAGAGGCAGTAATATAATGATTCACTTTATCAGTTCTCAGATCTTTTTTTCCTAGTTTTAAATAGGATGACAGTCGATTAATTTAATTAAGCATTATTTAATGAGAACAGAGTCTACCCAAAGGAACTACATCAAATTATCCAAGACAAAAAGTAGAACAAAGAACAATTGGTTTTGTTTAAGTTTCTCCTAAATACTGTGATCCATGATACGGGATGCAATTATATCTAACTTTTAAAATTAAATGTAAGCCAAGATTTTAAAAGAAGTTATGAAATTTAGACACACACAGATTTCAACAATATTCATGGAAGTAATTTCTGATCATTTGGTATTAAAGTCTTTTTAATTGTTGCTAAATATTCCTCCTCTTCATGAAAAACAGATAAATAGATTGAGTACTCAAGTACAAGAGTTAAAACTATTCATTCCTCAGTTAGACCAAATCACTTAGTTCATGGAACTGCATTCTAGAACTATTTATAGACATCACAATGCAGATCTGATATCCCTAGAATCAGCTATTTCTGCTTTCTTTGATACATAGAGCTACAGCATATATGGATAAAAAATTACCGTAGTCTATAAAGCAAAATTTAACTATTTTATACAGAATAACAAAATAGTTGAGACTGGAAAGCACTTCTGGAGATCACCTAGTTCGAGCTCCTCATTCAAAGAAGGGTCAGTGAGAGCAGGTTGCCCAGGGCTGTGTCCTGTTGGGTTTCAGACACCTCCAAGGACAGAGACTCCATGACCTCTCTGGATAATCTGCAGTTTTACAATACTTGTAAACATATGGAAAAATTTAAGATTAAGAAGTACATTATTTTATACAGTCAGTTGAACATTAGTAGTGATCTGCATTTTACACTTCTTGATTGAGCAGTTATAAAACATTTCACAAGACTGGAGAGGGAGCAGTACCAACAGAGTCCTTGCTATTATGTAAGTTTTTTTTTCTAACAGATGATCCACATTTAGAATCATAAAATGAATCACAGAATGGTTTGGGTTGGAAGGGGCCTTAAAGATCTAGTTCCAACATCCCTGCTGTGATCAGGGACACCTTCCACCAGACCAGGTCGCTCAGAGCCCCGTCCAACCTGGCCTTGAACCCTTCGAGGGAGGGGGCAGCCACAGCTTCTCTGGGCAATCTGTGCCAGTCTCACCACTCTCAGAGTAGAGAATTTCTTCCTTACATCTAATCTAAATTACACTTTCAGTTTAAAACCGTTACCCCTCGTCCTATCCCTACACTCCCTGATAAAGAGTCTGTCCCCATCTTTCGTGTAGGCCCCCTTTAATTACTGGAAGGCTGCTATGAGGTCTCCCTGGATGCTTCCCCTGTCTAGGCTGAACAACCCCAACCCTTTCAACCTGTCCTTTCGGTGGAGGTGCTCCATCCCCATGGTCATCTTTGTGGCCCTCCTCCAGACCCACTCCAACAGGTCCATGTCTTTCTTAGACTGGGGGACCCAGAGCTGAATTCAGTACTCCAGGTGGGTCTCACAAGAGCAGAGTAGAGGGGGAAAATCCCCTCCCTCGACCTGCTGGCCACACTTCTTTTGATACAGCCCAGAATATGGTTGGCTTTCTGGGCTGTGAGCACACATTGCCGGCTCACAGTCACTTTTCCATCCACTAATACCCTCAAGTCCTTCTCCGCAGGGCTGCTCTCAATCCACTTATTACCATGAGATCACCCCAATCCATGTGCAGGGTTTTGCACTTGTCCTTGTTTAACTTCATGAGGTTTGCACCAGCCCACCTCTCAAGCCTGTCCAGGTCTCTCTGAATGATATCCCTTCCCTCCAGCATATCGACCGCACCACATAGCTTGGTGTCATCGTCAAACTTGCTGGGGGTGCATTCAATCCCACTGTCCATGTCACCGAGAAAGGTGTTAGTGCTGGTCCCCATACTAACCCCTAAGGAATGCCACTCGCCACTGCTCTCCACTTGGACATCAAACCGTTAACTGAAACTCCTTGAGTGCGACCATCCAGCCAAGTCCTTATCCACCAAGAGGTCCATCCACCAGATCCATGTCTCTCCAATTTAGAAACAAGGATGTCACTAAATTATGTTTATAAATCTAAATAGTCAGCAATTAGAGGGCTTAGTTTTTTATCATGAGCAATAAAAAATATCAGCAAATTACCAGTTCAAACCATGTGGTCACTCCAGGCAAGTTTCAGTAGACCAGCACCTCATTTTTGAAAACAGGTTTACTCAGACTCCTGAGAAATTTTATATGGTGTTGTAAACTCAAGACTGGCCCTAGGCTTGAATCTAAACTCATCTTCTTTCCAGATTAAAACATTCTACCCAAAAATTCTCTTCCCCAAAATTTCACAGATCTTCCAGGATCAACAAAACATGCTGAATGCTCCCCAGGGACCCCAGGTAATTATTTCAAATATTTTAATCTCTGGTATGATAGAAGCTACTTCTTAATAGTCACTGAATCCCCACTGTTAAAAGCAGATTTCAAGTTTCACCAACACTTAGCTTCCATTTCACAAGCTGTCAAATGACTAATCAAAATGTCAGAAAAATGAAATCAGTTCTGCTGTTTTCAGGTTTTATCGTTAGCAGTTAACAGATAATTGGCCTACTCATGCCCAAATAAAAATGATAAATGTTAACACTTCCTAGTTGCTAAAAAGAGAATAGTAATCTTGAACAGCATTAAGTTGTATGTGTTAAGTATGGAAAAATAATGCAACAAAATTCCACCTTCTCCTTCCCATGAGGGTTTTGGTGAAATGTGGGCCCTTCCTCACTTCTGCACCTTAAGTGCTGACCCTCCCTCCTGGACCAAGCTCTTAGTTTAAGCACTGAGTGCAGCAACTATAGCAAATACAGGAGACTTTAAAATATTTATTTGGTACTTATAAAGAAGAACACAATGGCTATACTGTGTCAGTGGAAAGGTACACATAAATTTTGATTGTATCTCCAACTGTGGCCAGTCAAAGATGCATATGGAAGAATATAGGAATACAATAAGCTCCTTTCTTGCTTTCAATGCAGTAGGACTGTAGCATGTATTTTTAAGGGAAAGGATGGTATTAATTTGGCTAAATGTGGATATCTCCATGTCAGTTATGAACATATAAGGTTCCCTCTCTGGAATAATCATTTTGTAATCAGTGGAAAATCATAAACTACTTCTGATTCCAGGTCCTAAATATCATATAATGTAGATACCAAAAAGACTGAGCAAATCATGTGTGTCAGCACACTTAGTCGAGCAGGGAGGAGGTCTTGATATATAAAGCTGATCTGCTGACTGTGGGAGCTGATACTGCTAAAAATAAGTTGTTGCTCACCATCAATGCTGGATGTAGCTATGCCAATAAAATTTTTTAAAAAAAAAAAAAAAGATGCTAGAAGAAATTATGGATTTTATTATAAGGGCAATTACTAGTTCCTCCTCAGTCAGCAGAGTTGCCATGGAGCAATGTAAGTTTTCTCATCTTCCTGTTTGTTTTTTTCTACTAAACTGGTGATTTGAAGCATACAAAGTTTTGGCAATGTGAATAACATGTCCTGACTACCAAAGAACAGTTACAGAATGTGATTGGGTTTTAGAAAAAAATGTTTTTTATCACCAGTATCCTATGACTTCTTAGTATTTTTTTGCTCATTTTGTTGTTTAGACTGACATTCCTCCTAAAGGTTTTCTTTGTAGCATTATTTTTTTCCAGCAAAAGGTATTAACCATTTACTCCTTAAGAAAAGAAAAATTAGCTTCTTGCATAAAAACTTTTTCCTTAGATCTCAGGGCTTTCAGTCAGATCAATTAAGACATGTTTAAGTTGCTTTGAATTTAAACATTAATGAATCCACAAGGTGTCGATAAAAAAAAAATACCCCTATCCTGCGGAGCCGCGGACGAACGACACGCCGAGACGGGTTCAGTGTGGGTGATAGAGCATCAATCAACGTGTGTGTTTATTGGTCCAGGGTACATATATTTATACAGACAATGATAATTATTATGCCTACTAGTCACTAGCTGATTGGCTTAAGCTCCAAAGGTCGTATTCGCACGGTCCACCTACTTGCAGTTAGCTTACAGCACAAGCCTCTCACAACACTAAGTTTCTCATGCTACTATTTCTGATTCCTGTTGACTTGTTTTCAATACACGACAGTACCGTAACACAGTGTTTCTCAGACCACCGTTATCATAACACTGGGTTTCTCAGACCACTATTCCTAATTCCCCTTAACCTGTTTTCGACACACCACGGTACACAGGGCTGAAGCGTCCTTGACATTCCTCCTGTATCAGCAGCTGCGAGCAGCTGCAGGCAAACCCTAGTGAGGGTCAGCATCAGCAGCTAGAGCAGGCTCTGATCATACAATTGCTCGGTGGGCTCAGGACCCTTGTCTCTGAGCCATTCTCCAACACTATCCCAACAACGTAAATGGATCCTCTGTGAGCCAAGGCTGCTGAGATTCAATTTCCTTTCGGTTTGCTGCTTTGTTCACGTGTGCTTGGCCGTACTGACCAAGTGAATGAATGTGAGGGCATTGCAGTGGTGAAACTCTCACCAGTGGAAATTGGACTTGATTTCCAAATCGCAGCACTGCAGTGGTACATCGCTAGGCGCTTCCTGCTGGTCTTTTAAATTAGAGCAAGTCCCTGATGATAGCCTTACTGCTTCCCTGGTAAATGTTCTTCTGAAGCCATGCAAGCAGGAGGCGATGTAACTAGGATGAAACTGGATGTATTTTGTCAGCAATGCTCTTTTTTTTTTTTTTTTTTTTTTTCACAAAAGGAACATAACCACTTTCTCAAATATCTAAAACTTTCCAGTTTTATTCCTGTTCATTGCCAATACATAGAAGTGGTGGCTTGACTTGTCTTACTCAAGAAGTTTGTACTGTCACACTCAACATCATATGCCATGATAGCATGATGAAGGCACACATTGATAGGAAAACAAAAATAACTTAAATTCCTTCCTTTCTAGAAGCCTTCTAAAGACAGAGTGTTTGCTGTTATATTTATATGGCAGAAAATCAAGGGAAGCTGCATTTATTCATAATTACTGCTGCTTTATTCCAGACGAATGGAGCTTAAAACCAGATCTGCTCTAAGAAGCAAAAGCAAGATCATGGTTTTGAATGATGGCTGCTAAATGAAAGGGGCTAAATTTTAGGAAAAAACAAATCTATTTTGGCAGTAAGCAGCTGGCTTTACTGACTTCTGAGTATCACTTTTTAGTCATTCTGTGCATCTTGTATTTCTGTAAACTGATGCAAACAGAATGATAAATAATTACTGACAGAAGTTATGAGTAAATCTGATATTTCAAATCCTAATTCATGGAATCCTATGGAAAAATTTGTAATATAAAGTTATAGTCTTTATTTATCATATTCTTTCATTGATAAATAATTTTATCTGCTTTATTCCATAAAAAGTTCTCATATTTCATTTAGCAGCATGTTTTCCTATGAGTTTATCTCCACATTTCACTTCATTATTTTTCCCATTTGTTATATGCAACAGCACAGGATTTTGAAATAAAAATATGACCCAGGTGAAGACTTGGTTTTATCTGTGTAAGTGGTAGCAATCTAAGTGTTTGTGGTTTTCCTTGCTGTGTGGATGATGTGTTTTTCAGATGTTTTGTAATACATTGCTTTTATTGGACTATTAAGAATTCAGTTGTCCCATTAAGCAATTATTTCCACTAGAGCCCAAGGCTCGGATTTTGACATTTGTACATTAAGTGAGAAGTTAATCTCTTTGGAGTCATCCTTCTAACTACTTCAAAATATTAATGCAGTTCTCAGAACCTGAGTGGTAGCTCCTAGATACGAATCTATAATTTGCTTTTTGCAAGTATTTACTGTAACCAAAATATTTCTCATCAGAATACAGCTCACATTATTTATAGAGGGATTGACTCTGCAAATACTGAGCATAAAACTTCCTTATAGTGCTGCCTTGCTCCATACTGAGTCTTCCGGCTCAGTCCTGGGATACTTGGAAGACAGAGCAGATTAGATCAGTATTCAGTATTTTTCAGCCTGGTGATCATAGCTCTGTTCCAATCTTCCACAATGTTCAGCTGTTTTCTCAATTTTTCATTAGAAAAGGTGTGGAAGAAAAATTTAAACCTGAATATTTCCAGGCTGGTATTTGAAATGTGGAGGTACATTTTTCATTTAAAATCAGTTAGGCCAACTGCCTTCATCTTCTTATATTTTCTTAAGTGACAAAGTAGAGAAAATGTATTTGAATTACAAAATTACATTCACTAGTTCCATTTTGTGGCTCAGCTTCTTGGCAATATGCCACAGTAGGGAAAAGTTACCTTCCAAGACCATGGCTGGCCAGGAAATGTCTGATATAGGAAATGTTTTGGTTTCTTGCCATGTTGGTAGGTGTGCATGTTTTTGGTATTGAAAAAGTTTTTCAATATCATGCAACCCAGATTGTGGAGTGCATGTATATTTTGAATCAGAAAGGAATTAATCCTCTGTCTTGCTTCAACAGGTAAATTACAGTTGATGGGACAATCACATTCAACAGTCTAATATGTGTGACATTAAAGGGCTTTGCTAATGCCTTGTGCCATTTAAACAACATTCACTGAATGTCACATCAAATCTTCTTGTCAAAGTAGTCTATCTGATGCCTTTGACAAAATCTGAGCACTTGACATCATGCTGTTTTGCCTTCTTAGGAATGCAGGTGCTGGAATGGAATGGAATCCCCTTGACTGGGAAAACTTATGAAGAAGTCCAGAGCATTATTATTCAACAGAGTGGGGAAGCAGAAATATGTGTAAGACTGTGAGTTTTTCCCCATCTTTCTGTTTCCATTTTTTTTTGGCTTTTCATGGCTTTTTTTTCTTTTTTTTTTTTTTTTTTTCTTAAATTTATAGTTATTAAGATAGAACCTTTGTTAGCATGGAACATCAATGTAATAATTAGCAAGAGTTCACTGTGAATGTGGGAGGTCTGTTCTTTTTTTCTCCCTAAAGTCATAAGGAAAGATAAGTTGAGAAAGATGTTAGTAATTATGCTTTGATAAACAATGATATCTCCATTTTCAGGCCACAATCTCCTCTCATTGGTACACACAGAACTCACTGAATTTACAGGGGTGAGAAAAAGATGTTAATTTAACGTTAACTTGACTTTTACTGAAATCTGTATCCTTTAGGTGAAAGTCATTTAAGCATCATCAAAAATGTATAAACTTGCATTCAATCCATTAAAGATTTCACCTTAAAAGAACCTTTTCTTCACAGCTCTTGAACAGTATTACAAGCATGTATGAGCTGAGAAGGGGCCATGCTTGGGAGCTGCTTTCCGTCATGAACCACTATTCATTTATTTATTTAACACAATAATGAGGGTATGAGGAAAGAGTTTCTTTTGTCTCAGGCTTCTCATCACTTTCTTTAGGGACCTGAACATGCTCTCAGACGCTGAGAATCCCCAGCACCTGGAGCTGCATGAGCCCGCAAAGGCAGGTGAGCAGCAAGCTGTTGCTATGATATTGTAGGACCAGATGGCAGCTGAAAATTGGATGTGATATAAGCTAGGATATTAGCATTGTAAACTGAGGTGTTACATCGCAAATCTTGCTATGGGCAGAAAGGGGACCACACTTTATGCACAAAACCAAACATTTACTGAAACATTTACTGTTGGTTATTGCTAGAAGTATTATTAGTATTAGCTCAGTTCAATCCATACTGACACAGTCTACAATATCTAATTAATACAAAGGAAATCTCAATAACAATACAGCAGCTAACGTTTGTTATCCAGGGAAAACCTCCTGCTAGCTACCCCTTCATCTATACATGCCACAGAAAACTGTGGCATAATGGTCCCCCTTTGGCAGTTTCTCTGGCCTTGAAGGCAGAGCTTTCACTCTGGGGGCATTGCAGCAAGTCAACAGTGTCCTGAGGAATTTGCTGGAAGAGTGTGATGTTTGTGAGAGTTTTTGACTCCTCTCTGCTGGGAGATGGATGATGTTGATGATTCCTTACTCTTTGCTTCAGGATCTCCTTGGGGCCTTTTTTACTTTTTCTAGCATCTTTCCTCACCGGTCAGCAGCTCTGCATTGCATGTGACTTAACTGGATATCGTACACTTCACGTGTGACTTATTATTGTCCTTTGTTCATTCTGTTGCCCCTAAAATTTATTTTGCCCAGCACCTGAGTTTGCATCAGTGCCAGTAACCGACCAGCTAGTTGCTGCTATCCCTGGGGCCTCAGCTATTGTCCTGTGCCCAGGCCTTGCAGCACTCTGCTGTCAACTCAGGCCTGTGCTCCTATAAACTGCATTAATAATCCGGGGTCAGAAATACTTCAGTTTATGCAGTGCCTCACATAGATGTGTGTAATAAGAAAGAATGAACTAGAGCTTTTACTCTTCATTTGTTTTCATTTTATTCTACTTTGATTAATTGGTCATGCTAAAGTTTTGAGATCCTTTTCTCTTTATTTTCATATAAATTATCTCAGGACTAGAATTCAGTTTTATTGAATGTCCAGTTGTCAGAAAAAAAAAGTTGAGATTAAAGCTTGTTATGACAAAGTTCAGATACTTAGTGAAACTGGACCAGTTCCAAACAGTGAAGTTAGCACAGGCAAGTCTTTAAAACTGTAATTTGCTCTGGTATGATTCAGCACAATCAGCAAGGCTTGTTTTTCTTCAGCTAGAGAATAACCTTCTCAGGAAGCTTGTGAGATGAGTAACGCTAGTTGACAGCACGTTGAGTAGAAAGATTGGAATTGGGATGTTGATGCTGTGGGGGAGACATGTATTTTTAATAGGTTTCCTTTTGCATCTTCAAAGTATACAAGCGATTGATATGAAAATTTGTAAAGATCATTATCCTATCCCTGTACCAAGGCAAGATGGATTTGAATGTGCTAGCACTTATCAATACCAAGCTCTCTTACTTTAATCCAGTAGATAAAGCGAAGTCCCCAGGGGTTGATCCCAAGCAGCTGGCTGCAGAGCTCCAAAAGGTTTCTCTACAGCAGTCGCCTCTGGTTGCTTCCTCAGGAGTGGAAAAGGGATCTCACATTCACTCTGGAACCACTTCTGCCACCTCCAGCGCTGTTCCCAGCCCTGGTCAGCCTGGTTCTCCCTCAGTGAGCAAGAAGCGGCACAGCAGCAAGGTAAGAAACTTCTCAGTTATGTGGCAATAACATTTTGATGGCAAGAAGAAACTGCCTATTTGTCTTCTTCATTGTGGCAAGAAATCACAGCACATATTGATTAATTAATTTCCTTGACAGTGATGTGTATTACTGTTAAGCTATAGAATTTGGACACAAGGAAAGGAGATTATGTGATTTATCAAAGATCATAAAAGATTGGGCACTCTCTGAAAATAGATTTCTCAAACTTAATATTATTGTTTTTAAACAAAATAATTGCCATTTTCATTCTTCATCGGTGTTGCTTTTTAAATGCGTCCTACATGATGGTGAGATACTAATTCCACAGAAGAAGCTGATATTACTAAAACCATAATTTCCCCCTCTGTACTAAGCTATTGTTTGAAGTGTCACAAGTTATAAATAATCATAACATATTAGGCATTTCTCTGAAAACCAGGGAAAGAGTGAAAAATAAATTTACCATCAAAACGTGTCTTGTCACTTGCTAATTCCTGGGAACTTGTTAAGCATAATTTCACATTTTCTTTGCCACATCCTGCCCATTTCTCATCTGAACTTATTTCTCCTTGTGCGCCCACCTGCACATCTGGAAAGCGCATAGTGGGAATTTAGTAGTATTTTTTCACAGTTGAAACTGAAAACTAGATCATAAAGTTGTCTGTCACATTTTTGCATTTTGTGTCAAAAAAGTTAACACCTGAAGTGAAAATCAATCCTGCAAAGACTGCATTTGCTTAAGCAATTTGCAAGATAACTAAAGTTGATTGCTACCCTGAATAGCCAGCTTCTCACTGTCTTCCTGTTGGAAGTAAAGCTTCATATTGCAAACAAGGTACTTTCCAGATATATTGTTTTCACTGTATCTTTATTCCTTCTTGGGACTGTCAGAATCCTACTGCATTGCTGTTATGTTTGATTTTTGTGCTGTTGAAGCTATAACTGTGATTTGAACTACAAATGTATTAGGTACTGTACAAACCAAAACCTGCAAATGGTGCCTGCTGATTCCAGATAGCTCTTCAATATGCTTCCACAACTTTCATGAGAGAAGAAACACAAAAATCTCCTCCATCCAGCAATTTAGAAAAAACTGTAAATATATTTATTGATCTGTGTTTTGGATAGTAATTCCATCTTGCCACAATTCCCATAGCCATATTATGAACTAATTCTGGTCTCTGATGCACAAGTTAAATCCATCTGTCGAGATTTAATGCACCCAACTTCAGGGATCTGACAGAATTGCCTAAGCATCAGATGAATAGTTGGGTTTCATTACACCTTACTCTGGATTTTGTAATCATCTACATATGAACTAGTTTGCTCTATGCTTTATGTTTACCAGTGAGAGTAATGCACTTCTGAAGTACAATTGATGAGACTAGATGAAACATGCCACTGAAGTGCATGCACTGCTTGGAAAGAGGGCAGGGCTCTTAGTGCAGATGTCACTATCTACACTGAAATCCCTGTCATTTGGTTAGATGAATCACACTCCTAAACTCACTACATAGTGTGTGGAGATCCATAAACCCTTGAAGTGCAGTGTATCCTGGAGAGGTGTCCCTCTCCATCCACAGGAGAAGACTGGGTTCCCAACTTTGACAGTGGGAAGTGAGATGCGTAAATTTAATTTCCTGTTTCACGGAAGATTTATTTTATTAAATTTCAGCTGGAGGCTTATAAAGATTAAATAAAAAAAAATATTAATACTAATGCCTTTATGTAGGGGATGCAAAAGTCAAAATTATTCAGGTAAATGTTTAAAACATTCTTTGCTTATTTCTGAAAGTCCTGTTGAGAGGCATTTCTTTCATAACAATCATATCTCTTGTTGACATGTATAGTTTCTGTTCATTGACTGCAAGCCAAGTTTTTAATGGTGTTGAGCTCTTAGAAGAGAAAGCTACTGCTCATCCTTTCTGGAATGGCTCTTTGACTTGGGCTGACAACATTTCAAGGCAGGCTGCAACCTTGTCAAAGTATCATGAAATACTAAATATTCAAAGTACCTAGATCTTGTTTTTGCAACTGGTCTTAATTTTAGCAATACTTTTTTTTTTTTAAGCTTTTTGTATAAAATATACACTCCAAAAATGTTGTAGGACCCTATTTGATATTCTGCACTGCAGATTCTCTCATATTTAATACTTTGTCCCATTACTACACAGAGTGACTGTGCGTATCATCAGAGCCTGGAATTGACAAGTTTCGCATCATGATAATGACAACCTCCTCCAGCAGATGTGATTGCACCAGGTCTTACACAGGGTGTGTGAGTGTGTGCAGGGAATTAGAATAAAATTAGAATAGCCATCACAGGAGAGATTTAACTTTTGGGAGCCTTGAGCTAACTAGATCCAATGCAGACCTGTTTCTTTTGTACTGTAAATGTATGATAATTCTATGGTGCAGATTACATCCAGGATATAAATGCCCTATAGAAACATTTAATTGTCTTTGTGTCTTGAAGAATGGGTTGTTTTTTTAAATCCTCAGATACTTTAGCTCCTAGAGATGTCAACAGTGAAATACTTTTTCTTCTTTTCAAGTTAACCCTCACTGAGGCCTTGATAAAGAAAGTTACTAATTTGTATCTCTGCCTTTCAGTCCACATCTAACTTCAAAGTTGGCCCAGCTCTGAGCTGAGTATTAGACCAGATGGCCTTGAGAAGTCTATTTCAGCCTAAATTATTCATGTTTCTTTTAAATATTTGGGGTTTTTTTTATGGTCAGTTTAAAATGAGCTGACATCAGAGAGAAAACAAAATATTTAATATGCTGAATCACAGCCTTGTAAATGAATACAGAGATTTAACAGTAATATAGAAACATAGAAATGCACATTTATTTTTACAGATGAGTAGATGAAAGAAAAGTAACTGCACAGCTAAAGGTAACTCCACTTTAACCACCTCTGGAAGTCTCCACACAAATTTGGCATGCCCATTCCCTTTTCTCTGAACTCCTCCTACAGTATCTGCACTAATACATTCTGTATTACACAATATTTGGAGTGAAACTCATTATTTTTTGCTTTTCAAACCTGTGAATAATTAGAGCATTTAGACTATCCGGCAGTGATTTTGTAGCCACAGCACAGCTAACTCCATGTTATTTTGTAGCATTGTCAGTATTGTCAGTACTAGTACAGACTGAGGTTAGAACTATTAAAGTATAATTAAATCTATTTGTAGAGGTAAAGTACAAGAAATGTAAGCCATTTAAGCCCTATATTGAAAGTCTGCATGATGCTTAGGTAGGTCTCTGTCTTTGGCAAAAAGAGTGAATATTCTCTGAATATTCTTTCAAGGACCAAAGAAGTTTTGGGAGTAGTTTGCTATCAATACAAAATATCAATTAAAATTCAGAATGCTTTATACACTACTTATGACTTATTTTAGCTATTAGAGGGATTACACATCTTTGAAAGCTTTGTAAGGTACCAAGAAAAGCCAATTTAAAAATTTTCCATGAGAATTATTTTTGAAAACACATGTATTTCCAGAAAAAATAACATTTTTTTCCCTGAAAAACCTTGTGTTCATAAAGAAACATATCTAGAAGGCAAGGTAAAGCATGTAAACCAAACAAAATTGAGGCAACACAAAACAATGAATATAACTATATAACAGACAGGTTTCGGCTGTTTTTTCCCATGTTTTTGTTGAGCTAGTGTTTGGCTGGGATTTTTCTGGTTAGTTCTGGTCTGCAGACCTGAGTGATTGAGGGAACGTTTCTACATCACAAACCTGAAAAGGGTAATGCATCACCTTAACTTCATGCTCTGGTCCAGGAGACATGGGTGCTGTATTGGCCTAATTCAAAACAGTTCATATCCAACATCCTGAGAAAATATTTAAGGTTTTTTTGGAAGGTAGGGCAGAGTAAAAGAGGCAGATGGATTTTATTCTTCTCAGAAAGTGAAAGAAACCCTAATTATACAGAATAGTACGTCAGGCTTCTGGTCACATTTAGAAAAACAGGAAAAGATGGCTTCCAGATCAGTCTTCAGAGAACAGTAAGTTTGTCCCTGTTTGCATCCTCTGTTTTCTGCTGCATCAACCAAGTAAGCAAATGTGGACAGAGTGCAAAAATATTCAAATCCTGCTACTGAACCAGAGTGCTTTCTTGCTTGACTGATGGCTTGCAGATTAGAGGTAGGTCCAGGGTGGTTCAAGGGCACCAACATTTAACAGAATAACATATTTTTGAGAGTCTAGGATTTGAAGCAAATGGTGATATTATTGTCCAACTACTAAAAAACAGAAGGGAAGAAAAGGGAGAAAAAAAAAAAGACACTGATGATTTTATTGCTTTTGTCAGCAACCTAGAGAAGCTCAGCGATAGAGAACAGCATACTGAAGGGGAGGACAGAAAATTTAAATCTCATATCATAGAAAGTGTGTGGAAAAATTTGAAGATGAAGTGGTGTAACTGAACTGATAATCAGAAAACCCAGAATAAAGTAAAAAACATTATATGAGATAGCTTGCTGTTTTGAAATCCACCTATACACATCACTCACTTTTAGTATCATTCTTTCCACACTTTCTACTCACTTTCACCTAAACTCAATTTAAACTAGTGTAATCTTTGCCTTTCAATATAAATATGGCTGTGTTGCACTTGACATGGTGTTTGGGTTCTCTTTGCAACATTCACTTTTTTCAGACAGGGTTAATGCTATGTTTCTTTTTCTCCCTGTGTGACCACTCAGCTCAGACTGTAAAGACTTTGGTGTTCAAGTTGTCTGATTCTGTACTTGCATGAAAGATGATCAAAATGGCTGAGCTGGGCTTTAAGTGCTGTTGAAATACCATAACTATTAGTTTTGAGTGTACAAATTGGAGACAATTAAACATTTTTTAAAAATATGTGGCAAAACAGTGGTATAAACTATATCTGTTAAAAAAACTAGCTTTAAAAATCTGTTATTTCCAATATGTGTCTATTTGTGAGTGTGTGCCTATGTATTTATTTATGTATTTTAATTTGGCAGCCCACCGAAACTACAAAGTCTGCTTCCCATCCAATCACTGGAGAAATTCAGGTAAATATGTAGGTTTTGCTATGTAAATTGTTGGTATTACTGGATGCATTTTTCTGAGTAATAGATTTGAAGAAAACAATCTCCATGAACTGATTTCTTATTCAACTCCAACCCCTTGAGATGTCACTAATGTAAGTCAGTGCTTGGTTTTTACCTCTGTTTTTAATGTTGGCTTGTGAAATACAACCAGAACAGAAAGCGCTACTGTTCATGAAGGGGCTAAAAATGTAATGAAATTAATTCTAATCTTTACTCTTTGGGCACCTATTGTGGTTTACTTCAGAAATTCCCAGACTCTTCACATTTAAGCAAAGACTACTATGAGTTTCTCGTAGTGCAGTGTATTTATTTCCATGCAATGCCAAGTTTGTAGATATCTCTTATGTAAACTGTCTTTACATTAGCTTTTTAAGACAGTGGAACTGGGAGCAGCAGAATAAATTAAGACTAACTTCCTATAGATCTATGTCTTTTTCCTTAATTAATCTCTCTCTCCTATACTAGTACTAAGGATGTTTCCACAGTATTATAACATCCTTCCCAGGCTTGTGCTTCAGGTAGTCAGAATTTGTGTAATTCCTACTCAATAAGCTGGCTATTTCTCAGAATAATATCAACAGTTCAAATTTAATCTGCTTTTTTCCTGATTGCAATCGATCAATATGGGTGTTTCCTTCTTTTCTTTTTTTTATTTAACCAATACTGTCAGACTTTGAAAACAAAATTTGTTTCAAGATCCAACAAAGTAAAAGTTCTAAAATTTGTTTTATTCAAATTATTTAAGAGAGGGATTGAATCATTTAGGAATTAAAAATAACAAACAATCTTAATGTGTCTTAATGCATTTTCTAGCTTCAAATCAACTATGACAAACACCTTGGCAACCTTATCATCCACATCCTTCAAGCAAGAAACCTTGTTCCCAGAGACAACAATGGCTATTCAGACCCCTTTGTTAAAGTTTATCTTCTTCCAGGGAGAGGGTAAGTGTAGGAGAAATTTTAACTTGAACTTTCTTTTAATATGGTTTGTTACTTGCCCCTATTAAAAAGAACTGAAAGTTATTGCTATAGAAAATCCAGGTGCAACACCAGGAAAAATGGTAGATTTTTAAGAGAGCCAGATCCTATTGCCAGGAGAATGTGCATAATTTGCTAATGACTTCAGAGACTTCACACTCATTCCTGTAGATTTGTTTTTTTATATTTCCATTTAAAAATTCTACTACATGCAAAAATATGTATTAAAAAAACAACAGACTCTACTGAAATGTACTAAATATATGTAAAACTTTCTGTAATATAAAAGATACTTGTTAAATTTAACATGAAATGGTTGCTTCAGCTCAAAACATTCTGAATTTGGGACAGATATGCAAACATGTAGAATTACAGTATATGGGAAATTTAAGGTTGCAGTATAATATCAAAGGTGAGATATACCAGAAAGAAAACATTAATTTGATGGGATTTTTTTATGGCTTTTTTTTTAAGAGCTGAGATGTGGTTTTAGAAATTCTGGTAATTTTGTATCTAATGACTAAACAAATCACTTATCACTTTTTCACAGACAGTTGCCTCTTTAGACTCTGTAATTACAAATAGCTCATTAGTGTTTCCTTCAAAAGAAATGTTTCTGTATCAGCAATATTATAACTTATTGTGTGTCCTGAAGTTTCAGAATGTCATACGTATGCATAAGTATATATGGTCATAATAATCCTGCTCACTTCAGTGATACAACAGATATACATAAAATTAAGCTGATGGATGAGACCTTAGATTACAGAGACAAATCAATGCAAACTTCTCTGCTTGCATAATCACACTCATCCTAAAAGACTCTTAGGCTGGGACCATGCAACTAAAAATCTATATTTCTGTTCTATTCAAAGTAACAGGTAAGTGGATGATCAGGTCACAGTTCAGCATTTGGCATATGGGCAAGCACCACTAAAAGCACATGAATGATACAGCTAAAGGCATGCATATTCTTTTGTAGCTTGCTAATTCCAGCAACATAGAGTTCAATATTGTTCAGTGGCACTGGGCCCAAAACTATTACTGAATATAATGGGAACAGGTCCTAGACCTTAAGGTGTTTTTTAATGCACCTAAGAGTCTTGTAAAATACTTGTCAAATCAATCTTACAGGGAATTTTGCAGGTACATTCACTGATGTAGAAATAAGACTTTGAATTAGAGAGACTCTGCAGAAGTCTATGCCACATCCAAGTATAAGTTTAAACTTGTTCCAAGTTACGAAGAATTTGTATTTTAGTTTTGTTTGGGTTCATTATTTTAAAACATGGAAATGTTACACTTTTGCATGCAGCTTGGGGCTTTAGGGAATAATGAAAATGAAGAGTTTCTCAAAAGTGCCAAACTTGTTTCTGAAAGCAATGAATTGCTACTGAATATCTTTTATCTGTAGTTCAGGCAATGTTAGACTTCTTGTTCTTCTCAATGCCTCTATTTCCTTTGAATCTGATACTAGAAATTACCCATTATTCAAGTTTTCTTTCATGTCTGTTCTCATTTTGTCTTACACTGCTTCCTCTGTGTTCTTAACTCTGTAAATGCTGGGTTTGCAGACAAGTCATGGTTGTCCAAAATGCAAGGTAGAGTATGGTATCTTCCAATTTTATTCTTTCATTTTTGTATGCATGCATGATATGATAAGCCTGTGCAGTGAACCATAGATCTGAGTTTTGATGGCACACAATTGCAGCATGCTGTTCATTCTCTAATGAATCCCATTTCAGAAGGAACTGGAAACAAGTAATTAATGCTCCTCAATGCAGCAGTATTATAGGGCCAAACTCTGATGACAAACAAAATTTCTTTTCGAGTCTTGAAGAATTTAGTTCAGAGATATCTGAAAATTCATTCTCACTCACTGAAAGCTGTAAAATAATTAACTGTGAACTTGTATCAAGATTTTGAATGATGTTAACTGCCAAGAGAAACAGGCAATGTTTGGAAAATAAATGGTATATTTTCCTCTCTGTACCTTGCACAGTGTATAGATATTAAAGCCCAGTATAATTCTAGATAATTGTCCAGTTGGCTTTGAAGCTGCTTGACCACATAAATCATGATTTGTGGTAAACAAAGTTGAATTTTTAGTTATTGAAATTACTGATGCTTTGTTTATCCTGTTTTGTGGACAAAACCCCATTCTCAAGATATGTTAGTGTCAGCCCAGGCATAGGAATAATAATTCAGCCTAAATTCTAAATTTGTTTAAAAGTAGAAACCTGACCAAATAAGTCAACAGATGATTTTCAATAAACAGATCTCTATTATCAATCTGTTTCTTTGTTAATAAAATTATTTAATGAATGTGTTTAAATGCCACATTTTATCTGCAGTAATTCTATTATACTTTTTTCATTGTACTTTCAGTTGTATTATGTATTAATAAACTATAATTTAGGAAGCATAGAGAAATGATAAAGAAAAGAGTAATGCAGTTTGTGTCTTTTCACTCAGCATGCTCTGAATTTCAAGCAGAAATTATTTCATACTAGGTATAGACTGGTTTAATAAATGCATTTTATTAAAGCATCCATCTATTAATCACCATTTTTTGGGTGAAGGTACATTGGTGTTACGAAATTAATGTATTTACCAGATCCTTCCCTTCAGCGGTCTAGAAACCTTCATCTGTCATCCAGCCTAGCCTGGGTCTGCATCTCCTTAGAAGTGATCAAGGTCTTCTGCTTCCTTCTGATCCAGACCATAGGTTACATGAACATGGGCTAATGCCACCCTTGCCAGTTTGGATCCAGATATTCTACAGACTTCACTGGAAATACTCCAGTTACCATGCTAAAAACACATTTACATTTTGTCACTGTCCGCTTTGAAACTCAACACTGCATGAATCATGTTCTCACATATTTCTGAAAAGAATCAGAAACTTTGAAATTATGATGAAGTTGTAATACTGCAAAAAGAAATCCATGAAAGAAAAGGGAATGTCTTGGTGTCACTTTATTGGCTGAGTGCACAAAGGATCCTTTCATCTTTTCTGCAAAAAAATGAAATTATATCAGTTCCCTAAAACCAGTAGATCATATGACATTTAGACAGGCCCAAGCTGTATAATAGTATCCTGGCTTAGTAAAGGTAAGAAGTAAGTGGGGTACTTTGGATGTAAGAGGGGTTTAGATAAGTTAATATTACATTAATAGTTGATCAGAATAGACATTCATTTGAGGAGTACTGTGAGCCCAGAGCGAAAGAGATGCTGCCAGCCCAGCTGTCACTTGCCCATGTCCCATGTCTCCATATGGGTCAGTCAAATCTCATTAATACTTTGAGTGATGGGGATGCTTTTCTCAGATTGCGGGATCTCAGAGAGCAGGAAAAGAAGTCTACTGAGGTGCTTAAAAAATTTAAGTGCATCACTGAAGAGGATTTGCCATCAAAATATGGTTTCCAAAAGCATTCGGGTTTTGTATTTCAGGATTGCTTCCAAGATATGCTTTGTGAGTCTCTTTTTCATATTCTCTGGGACCCCCTGGATTTTAATTTGTCCTTTTCTTACTGACATACAAGAAAAAAGAAATCTCCTTTTTTTTTTTTTTTGTAAAAACATACCATTGTATGCTGTGACAGAACTGTTTGAACTGTAGAGAGCTGCTGCTTTCTTCTCATAAGCAGAGATGGACATATACTTTGTTTCATGGGTCACAATGCCCTTCACATTTTTCGATAAACTGGAAGACAGTGGACAGAATGTTTTGCAAGAAAATAAATAGAACTGCATAGAGTGACTAGAATAAAAAGTAAGAGCAAAAGTAACTTCCATTAGAAGATACCAGTCTAGTAGACATCTTGGATATGGCCACACCCTTTTGTAGAATAAGGCCACTAGATACTCCAGAATAACTAGATGGGAGCAGTGCACAACAGAATTGAGTCTATGGAGTGAAATTGTTGGTTCTGAAGATCCAATATTGAAATATATGTGTCAGTAAAACACATGCATCTTTCACATAACCTTAGTTCTGACCTGTTCCAATCTGGTACCATGCATGGTATGCCATTAGTGACTAACTGATTAAATGAGTCCTTTGGAGTGCATCTTCTGAGTTAATCTCATATGAAAGAAATCTAGTCCACTAGTTCTGAGACCATGCCACACTGTGAACCAAAACACAGGTCAGTCAAATGTCAAAGAAGTAAGCATCAGGAGGACAGCCCACTACCAAAAATTAATGTAGGGGACCCATAAGAGAGCTTAATAGGACAGATACAAGTCATTCTGTGCAATTTGGCCTTAGTTCTGGAGAACATTAATTTTGCAATTTATTCAATTAATTTAATTATTGAATTAATTTAGTAATAGATATAGCATGTAAGTGCTTTAATGTGTGGAGGTTTGAACACAAGACAAAGGCCAGTTGACTTGCAGACTGACAACAATAGGTTCTTTACCTTATATCTTGTTGGGTTTTCAAAGTATTAAAAGCTTCTCATGTTCTCCTACTCAGATTTTTTGAGATGTCCATTAAATTTTATATTAAATTAAAATTGGAATGGAAACAAATCTGACATCAAAGCTCACAAAGCTAGATGAATCCACATTCTGTTAAATGTTAGTGTATTGCTTTCTCCATACTCAGGAAATGCAAAGTAAAATAGAAAGCACAACCAATTCTTTTTAAAACAGATTATGCAGCCAAATTTTTTATTCTTGTCTATTGATGAGCTTGATGCACTTCTGTGTTTGTTTCCAGTTCAGTTGGAGGTATAGGCAGAGAACAGGATCAATAAGAAATTAGTGTTTCTATCATTAACAGAATATTAGTTATCCCATGGCATTCATTAAATGTTCTTGTGAGATGGAACTCCTGTAATTAGAGACTGCAACCTATAAATATAATGGATTCATGCTTATTTAAAGTGGTAATAGGATGATGATCTTGGAAAATAAATCAGTGCGCTATCACTTCAATTTATAATCAGACCCCAACATGTACAATGAGAGAATAAAGCATATGTGCCTGTGCTGACTGGTACTTTATGTTGAAATGGTTGTAGGCAGAGCTAGCCTGCTGAAGAGTCAGAAGATGTTTTAAAAGACTATGTCAGGAAAGCATAGTAAAGAAAAAAAACCAAAGGCTGTCATTGTCCTCTTGTAACCCTGAGTTGTTGCTGAAATGGGAGATGCAGTTCTTTTCTTTTCCTGGTTTTTGATTTGTGGGTGTTTTTTTTTTTTTTTGCATTAGAACTGAAAGAAACAAAAGATCACTAACGTAATGTTTCCTTCCTTTGTTCAAATTCAGTGCTGAGTACAAGCGGAGAACTAAGTACATACAGAAAAGCTTGAATCCTGAGTGGAATCAGACAGTCATTTATAAAAATATCTCCATGGAGCAGGTGAGTGACTGGTAGTACTGTCCAGTGCAATTTGCTGCTTTATTATTTGTATGGTCTGCAGTGCTTATTGTGAAGGGAGAAATGCTTCTGGCAATTCTGTGAACCCATGTAAAATCTTGCCAAGTTTAGGGAAAATTTGAAACTACTTCCTTGCCTCTGATAGAGCTTTCTATGTCAGTACTCTTTTCTTGTCCCTTCTACTCATAAATTTGAGGGATTACACTCACAATTGTGTATAAGTACAGATGTGGCAATTTTAAAAAATGATAATGGAATACAGGGAGGCAATAAATTAAGAAATAAGTTTCTGAAAAAGATGCAGAAATCGCTGTCACTCACAGTTTCAAAAGTCATACAAGTTCACACAAAACACAGGTCCTACCATTTTTTTACTGGAAAATATTTGTAAAATACAGTGATACATTTTTAGATTTAGCAGCAATTTACAGCAATGGGCTTGAAATATGAATCACCTGAAAAAATCTAGAAGATATTTAATTTTCCTGTTATAAAAGGATTTAATTCACAGCTGGAAAATAAGTCTGTAGAAGTATTCTCTGTTTCTTGGTGGCTTCCTAACTCTAACTGACCTACAGAGTTAATTGAGTCAATATCAAACTGAGTTGTCTTTTTCTCCAGCTTCCCTTTTAAAGTGACTTTCTACCATTTTAAAAAGACATAATGAGCAAAATGATGATCAGTCCATTTGTTTAAATTATGAAATATATTTTATAGAATAATGGATCAGTACGGAGTCCTAAATCATTTTTGCCTTTCTTAACATTTTGTTCTTGATACTTTCAACTTCATTTTCAAGGCCATTTAATCTTTCAGTACTTGAAAAAGACCAGAATAACCAGACCCTTTACAGAATAGATTTCTCAATGCTCTTAATATAGTTCTCCAACATAACACCAAGAACTCAATATTATCTCCCTAAATTAAAATTTTGCCCTTCTTATTCATTGAAAGGAACATAGATTAAGATACTAATTTTTGCATAAAGCAAAAACCTTCCTACAGAGGGACTTGCATGGTTGGTCATGCCACCTGCACATCTGAACTTAGCAGGCATTAGCTCAGATTTACTTCAGAGGTACTCTGTCGTGTGTAGTGGTTATAGTTTGCTGGGTTTTGCGTGCTGTTTTGTGTAGGCTTGTATAAATCATAGAATCACCGAATGGTTTGGATTTGAAGCGACCTTACAGATCATCTCATTCCAAACCCCCTGCCATGAGCAGGGACACCTTCCACTAGACCAGGTCGCTCAGAGCCCCGTCCAACCTGGCCTTGAACCCTTCGAGGGAGGGGGCAGCCACAGCTTCTCTGGGCAATCTGTGCCAGAGTCTCATCACCCTCAGAGTAGAGAATTTCTTCCTTATATCTAATCTAAATTACACTTTCAGTTTAAAACCATTACCCCTCGTCCTATCCCTACACTCCCTGATAAAGAGTCCGTCCCCATCTTTCGTGTAGGCCCCCTTTAATTACTGGAAGGCTGCTATGAGGTCTCCCTGGATGCTTCCCCTGTCTAGGCTGAACAACCCCAACCCTTTCAACCTGTCCTTTCGGTGGAGGTGCTCCATCCCCATGGTCATCTTTGTGGCCCTCCTCCAGACCCACTCCAACAGGTCCATGTCTTTCTTAGACTGGGGGACCCAGAGCTGAATTCAGTACTCCAGGTGGGTCTCACAAGAGCAGAGTAGATGAAGAAAATCCCCTCCCTCGACCTGCTGGCCACACTTCTCTTGATGCAGCCCAGAATACGATTGGCTTTCTGGGCTGTGAACACACATTGCTGGCTCACATTCAGTTTTCCACCCACCCGTACCCTCAACTCCTTCTCCGCAGGGCTGCTTTCCATCCACTCATTGCCCAGCCTATATTTGTGCATGAGATTTCCCCAAACCATGTGCAGGACCTTGCACTTGGCCTTGCTTGCACCAGCCCACCTCTCAAGCCTATCCAGGTCCCTCTGGATGGCATCTCTTCCCTCCAGTGTGTCAGTCACACCACACACCTTGGTGCCATCGTCAATCTTGTTGAGGGTGCACTCTATCCCACTGTACATGTCTCCTTCAAAGATGCTAAACAGCACTGGTCCAACAATGGTAGCTCATTAACAGTGAAAGTGTCAGAAAAAAAAAAAAACTGCCATATTTGTCTAGCTGCAATATAAACTAGGTCTTCTGGGTTTTGTGAAAAGTTTTGGTAAGTCAGCAATGTTTCCAAACTGAGCTTTCCATTTAAAAAAGGCTCTTCAGTTTACTTAATTTTCTTTCGGGTTCTGCTCTGACAATTCACAGACCTGTAATTAAGAGTGCTAGGATGTTGGACGTTCAATGGCTGTTTTGTCATTTTAAATTGCTTAGTGATCTTAATCTGTGATTTCTTGGACAGAGATTTTTAGCACAGAAAATATCCTAATAACTATGATGTCATTTTTTTTGACCATTGTTTGTTGAAATTTACCTTTAGATCACATGTTGATTTCTTTGAACTTTTGCTTTCTATTTGCAAATCTCCTCCTTTTCCCTTCCTCTGAGACTGTTATGCAATTCTTGTAAGTGCATAAGCTTTGTGTGAGCACCACGTGTTGTATATTTTGTCCTCTTGTCACATAAAAGAGTGTGCAGGGAATAGTAATCCATTCCACAATTTTCCATGGCTTGTGCCTAGTACTAAGATATTAGTGTGAGTGATTCTTCTCCTATAAAATTCAGTGTCCTGACCTAGAGGAATACAGTTATTCAGTGTCCTGACTTAGAGAAATACAGCGAAGCACATTTTTAAATCACCAGATATTTCCATGCTGATGGTAATAATTCCCCTCTGCAGTTTGAAGAACTATCAACATGCAGTAGTATATAGTTTTCACTCATAACCCTCATGAATAGATATTTCAAAATAGATAGGAATATAAAGAGAAGTAGAAGACCATAATTTTGAGATTGAAAATGAGTGTTCTGATCACCAGACAAGCAAAACTGCATCATACACTAAGTTATACAGAGTTTTCAGTCACACCCTAACATAAATTCATGAATCTTTATACATATTACTTCTTCAAAGAAGCATTTCCTTTCCCTTCATCAAAACATGGCTTCCTGGCCGACACCAAATAAGTGTTATTAAACATTTCCTAATACAGTCCTTTTAATGTCACTGTCTAGACTTTAGCTGGTTGTACAATTTTTCATTTTCCTTTTCTCTTTCATAGCCTATCTGAAATTAAAGTGAAAATAATTATGGGAAATAGATCACTTTTTGAAATGAAACAGACTCTTTCAAGGTTGGAATGATTAGCTTTATCACATAGCAAATTCTACTTTGGCAATTGGAGAAAAAATAAATTAAACTGTGAATATTTAGTAATTTAAGGTTTTTTCTTAAGTAATAAAGTGGAGATAATTACAATTTGAGAGAGACTGAGTAAATACATTGCAAATATTGTATAATAATTGCTAACTCAAGTCAAATACCTACTCAGAGCATGAAAGAAAACATCAGAATGATTTAAGGAGAAGATGATAAAAGATAGAAGTCCTGTTACTGGTCAGTCCATTGGTACAATGTATGACCACAATATTAGGTGTGGCTTTTTTTACCTCAATTTCTTACATGTCAGAAGGCAAATAAAAGTATTTCCTTAAATGATGGCTATAATTCATTAAAGCAAATAACTTTTTCTACAGCTCATGTCTTTAAATTGAAGGTAATATATTTAGGAAGAGAATTATTTTCAAAATCCTTGCGTGATGTAGGAGCCTATGTCATGCTTCCAAAAGTAAGAAAAGCTTTCTTATTGATAAGTAAGGTGCTGGTACTTAAATCTTACTTAATATCTGGTACAAGATAAAGTAGATTTCTAAGTGACCTCCAAAATTCTTTTTGTCCTCCCATGTACCGAATACAACAATATAGAGTATAATAAAATGTTATATATGAATGTAAACACAAATAAGTATCATGCATGCTCTAATACACCACCTTCATTTCTACTCAAATATACTGAGACTGCAGTCTTTTATATTATTTCTGAAGTAATTATAGGAATTTAGTTTCAGCATAGGTGAAAAACAAAGTGCATTAAAATTATTTCCTCATACAAAACCTTGTATGAGATTTTGAAGGAATATTTATTAAATATTTCAAGTAATGCATATTTAGTTACACAGACCCACATTATCCACAACACCACCCAGTGATCTCCAGACATATAAAACAAGAAACAGACACCTTTACATGTGTGGTGTTGGCTATGTTTTCCGTAAGAGAAAATATTATTCACATTGGCTGTTTCTACATATTCTTTCATTTTCTTTAAATGATGGTTGTCGACAGCAGCCTAAAGCTAACTGGAGTTCACATACAGTAACATGCTTTACTAAAAAGCATGGGGGTTTATTTTTTAATTTTAATTTATTTTTTTATTTTTATTTCTTCCACAAAGCAAAGCCTGAAATTAGTTGCAGCTTAGTAACACTTTTTTCATAATATTCTTGGAACTCTGTTGAGATTCACAACAGGTGTAAACACCTTTCCTTTTTTTAGGGACATTTTCTCATTTTCCTGTTAGTACATTGCCCACTTGCATAAACCCACAGTCAGATGGACAGTAGGTTTCTGCAGCCCATTTCAGTATTGCTGTCAGTTAAATTCCTGATGGGGATCTGAACTTCTGGCTTCATGACATAGAACTGGATGATGTAAGGCAGAACTCTACATTGCTGTGATGGTATAATAGCTGCTAGTAAAATCACTAGCCATTCAGTGGTTTTGCCTTCGACAGTGATACATAAAGATATGTTCAGAAAAGCAAATTTTTCCCGTCTTTGAAAATCATTTCATGCACTCTGCCTAATAAAGCTTTTTTGATGTTTTTTTCATTGTCATAATATTTTATAAATGTTTTATTAAACTAAGAAGCTTAAAATAGATCTCTCAAAGAAATGTAGAGTACTGCAAGTTTTCGGCAGTTTTATTATCCTACTAATGCAAATAAGCTAGCAAAGTAGGGTTGCAGTTACCTGAAAATCTTCTCTATTTTCCCTTTTGTACCAAAAATCCTTTGTGGTTTGTTTGTTGTTGGTGGGGTTTTTTTGTTTTTGGTTTTTTTTTCTTTTTTTCTTTCCTGGGTCTATACATTATTCTCTTTGTCCCTGCACAGTTATCACTTCAAATAAGAAGACAGCATGTCCTCCCAAGATAGCAACAATTAAGACAATAAATTTCTGAAAAGTATTTATGCTATTCCTCTTTTTTAAAGGGTATAAATACTTAGTATAGCTTCTAGAAGGAAATTATATCATCCAGAAAGTAGCATGGACCAGTGGCATTTTTTTAGGTTATTTTTCAGGTTACAATTTCAATACTGTCTTGCAACATCAAAGAAAAGGAATTTTATTCAGTCAAGGAAATATTTTACAAGTAAATAATTTACAAATATTTGGTAGGGGATGTTCCAAAGAGAATATTTTTGTTCAACTTTTTCATTAATTTTTGCAGAATATTTTTAAAAGGAATGTTTAAGAATAATGTTGCCTAATTATGTAGGAATAAAACAGAGAAAGATTAAAGAATTGCTCTCAAATATATATATTCTTTTTAAATCTTAGCTTTCAAGTCATGTTGCCTGCTTAAAGAGTACATTGTTGATGCTAAAAATAGTACAGTTCCCATTTGTGGGGGTTTTCCATGATACTCTGATTTAAACATGTTTTTCAAAGATGCTGGATTTGCATAGTTGCTTATTTTTCTGAAGTTAGCTGGGAGCAGAAGATCTTCCAAATACATAATGAGATGAAATTATAATTTAAAGGCAATTTAAATTTATTAAGAACTGTATGAATCTGTGTTGCATTAAACCAAGGAGCAGTGGAGGTGAACAGCAAACAGTGCTTTTCTTTAAAGTATATGTAATATGTATAGTAAGTGGCATAGTTTATAATTTCTAACAATAACTCTATCCATAATTGTCTCTTTGTGCCAAGCAGCCAAGTAATAGTCAGAGCAGTGAGTGACACGTTGCTTCTGTTAGGATGGTGACCTCAGTTATCACATAAGATTTCTGGTTCTGACCTCTCTTATTCGAGTATGTGAAAAGAATCCTGTTTTCCTTAGTAATGCGTGGAAGTGTCCAAAAAATTCTTCACTTACAACTTAGCCTGACTTCACAGGCATCCCATACCCCCAGGATTTTGTCCTTCTCTCTTTCAAGCAGCATGAATTTATTACTGCCTCCCCAGCCACCTTCTAGCCTTTTGCCCTGCATACAACACCAGTAATCAATCCTCTCCCCATCTGTCCCCACAGACTCCTGGAATAACACTGAGGCCAGTCTTTCCAATATAGTCAACTGCTTGGGTCAACAGCTTCTCTGTCTTGTGTTATCTTGTCATATAAAAAGACTTACTTGTTTCTTACTGTAGTCTGTAAGAAGAGTGCTTGACACAGCTATCGTGCCTAACAAGGTCTGTAGATAATGGGTTTTGATGGCTGGCATTAATACCTAAAAGTACAACTTGTCCTGCATGTCTGGATCACTTGCAGAGTCCCATTGACTACACTGAATTCTGGGGGGTATTAAAGCCTGGTCTTCTCAGACGAGATTACGTAAATAAGGTGTTTTAAATAATACGTTTGAAATTCAAACTCAGATGCACTTTAGGCAAATATCTGAGTTCAGACAACTCAGATCTAATGATGAGAAAAGCTGGACAAATAGAAAAATGGTGCTTTAAAAATCAATTTGGCTCTTGTAGTGGACACATACTCTGTCAAAAACAACTTGTGGAAATTCCTAAGATAGGGCCAAGCACAAGCCCATTTGTCCTGATAACAAATAATAGCACAAAATTATTTTTCTGAGATCAAGGTTGATGGGAAGACAAAAGCTGCCTAGCCGTCACTATGAAAAAGGGTACAAGGAGGAGATAATGACTAGAAACTGCCATAAAGACTTGATCTGAAGTTTATGATGGTCATGGGGTTAATTATCCTTTGACTTAAATTGCAGCTGAAAAAGAAAACACTGGAAGTGACTGTCTGGGATTATGATAGATTCTCCTCAAATGACTTCCTTGGTGAAGTGAGTATCTTATTTCCTCCTCTCTATCCCAGCTTACTTAGAAAGCTGAATAACTGCATGCTGGTATTTGGATACTGTTCTCTTCCAAAGTATGGGACATGTGTTAAAACTTTTTTTACATCGCAGTTTTACTGCTGATTTCATAACAAATGGTCATGATTTCTTTCATTCACACATGAGAGATGCCTTCCCTTTATCTCCATAAACTGTGGGCAAGTTCACATAGAACTCGACACAATGTTACTTCACTGAAAAGTAAGAATTTTTCTGAGCCTGAGATGGTAACAGCCTTCACAGTGACTGAATGGGGAATTCTTGTTATAACTGATGAACTGTCTGCCTTGCTTTTAACATAACATAGGAATGCTGAAGAGGTATCAGTCTTTGTAAATGATTAAAGGATTAAATTCTGCCATCAAACCATAATTTAGCACATGCACAAGTATCTGCAAATGTGAGTAATTTGGTCTTTCAGATCAAAGTCCTACTTTTAACACTACAAAATAGTAATATCATTACCAAAGTATGACTGACAGCAAAACCTTGTAATGGATAATAAATGACATGAGTGATCATGGGAAGTATGCTTTCTTTTATAAAAACAAATAAACAAACACATTCATGTATCATACAAAATTACCAACAATAACTATGATGTCAAAAAAGTAATTAAAAATGTTATTACAAAAGAGGATTATTATTAGAAACAGACACCCAGGAAAATCAGTTATTCCTATACAGAGTAACTCAGAGTAGCTCTGCTCATTCTGCATTTGAATTTAGCAAAAAAGGCACTCAGTTCAGCTTCAGTTCCCTTTTGTGTAACTACAAAACTGAGCAATCAGTGTCACTATTTGAACAATTACTAAAATAAATGTATAGGAAGCAGCTACATGATTACTTATTTCCTGCATACTGCATCAGTATTCTTGTTGTGTACAGCATGTTTGTCCAAATGCAGGGCTTTACTGAATATTTACATCATTGTTATTTATAACATTTAGAAAATGGATGCTCCAGCAGCTGCTTCTACAGGAAGATTTAAACTTTTGCCTTCAGATATCTTCAACATCTAGAACTATTTTATTTATTAAATCATTCAGATGTAAATATGAAAACAGTTCTTCATGGACTATCCAGTGTATTTCAGAACCAGAATGTCTAAAGGAATCCTGCACCATAACATCAGATATGAGATATCCAAATTGTGCCCTAAGGACTTGCTTGAATAGGGCCAGCATGATCTCCATGCCCCAGAAGGCAAGTGGCACATCCATGGAATGTGAACCCTCTTCTCCCACAAAGCAGAGACCCCAGCCTATACTGCCTATTGAGAACAATCCCCAACCATGCCATCTTCCGAGTCATTCCCAAAGCTATGACCAAAAACCACAACAGGGAGCATGCTAGATAGTTAATTTGTTCAGATTAAGTATAGACTTAACCAGAAATACCAAGACAGGTCATATACAACCTATGAAGCTGAAAGAAAAAAAGAAGAGGAAAAAGGCTTTTAACCTCCTAGAAACAATCAGTTGTGAAGAGACTTCCCCATCCCTAAATCTGAAGAAGTTCTTTTATTCAGGGTTTTGTAATAAACTAACAAAAACATTGTTCCCCAAAACATTGCACACTTTATGTGTCTACTAGTTTTAGAACTTCCCTACCTGACATTATTTTTAACATTCTCACCTTGGAGTCAAATGCAAAGCTATTTTTGTCCCTTCCTTCATTCAAGACTCTATGATGACTCTTCAGTACTTTACATTTACATTAAGGGAGGAAGAGTCTTTATTGGTCCCAATGCCCCTTTTTTATTTTTTACTTCTTTTTTTCAAAAGAAATTTCTCAAAACTCCTGTTAGCTATCCAGGTGGCCTAGAGCAGATTTTAGCTACAATGGAGGTTTTCTTGGCCAAATTTCTCTTTTCATTTTCACATTGCCATTGCATCTCCCTTTTCTTTTTTTCCAGTGAAGTTTTGAGGCCTAAATGGCCTATTGAATTCTGTTATTTAGTGAAGTGCAAAGGTTCTTCTAATAGAATATGTCTATACAGAGGTAGAATGACTAGATGTCTTTTTAGTCTAGCTTTCAAGCTCTTGCTCACAAGCTACCCTTTAAACTATCTAGAAATCTTGGTATGGAGCTATGTCTGAGCTCATAGTCCTTATTGAGGTCCTGTTGAGAAGACATATTAGTTCAGACACAAGAATATGCTTACAAGTGTGAGTTTGAGATCACAGCTGGCTTATATCAGGTGACGTCAGAGTGTGGGCAGAGGGTCCTGAATCAGCATACAGCTTTATACCCTTCTTACATTTGATTGCAACTTCTGGTAACACAACTGTAGACTCTTATGCTGTACACAATCATTAACGGATCAGATAGAGGCCATATACTGTACTTTTATTTATTTGTAGGTATTGATTGAGTTATCCAGTGTCTCTCAGCTTGACAACACTCCTCGGTGGTACCTTCTGAAAGAACAGAGTGAAAACATTGATCACGGGAAATCTCATTCTGGACAGAGCAGCCAGCAATCTCCAAAACCATCTGTCATCAAGAGCAGAAGTCATGGAATCTTCCCGGACCCCTCCAAGGGTAGGAATGACTGGGTGCACCTGATATGAAATGTTTTCCCAGATGATGGGAAAACCTTTGCTATGTGTAAGTTCTAACAGAAAAATAAAGTTACTGCTATGAAGTTTGTATATATTTTTATTAAAACATATTTATCTCTGTGATGAATTCATTGGATCTAAGGCTTAATTTCACTTCATCGGTGCCAGGCAGCTTACTGAGTAACCGTGTCCTTAAAACAGCAGCTTAAAAGAGCTATGTGTTTTACACATCTACTAAAGATTCTGTGCCCTTTTCATTTTTCTGGTAGCCTTGGCCAAATTCAATACATATTTAGCGTTCTATTTTTCATGTTCCTTAAGTACTCTATGTCATTTTATCTTCTTGAAATGTCACATTAATAATTTATAGAATAGTAATTATGCCATAATGATGCATATGCATTTCCAGTCAATGATAATGGGCTGTAGCATATCTCCATTGTATTGGAAATCAGTGGAGCTGATATAGTAGAATTCCACTAGTACAAAAAGCAGAATTGATCTCAGTGTCTCCTTCTCCAAGAAATTTATCTCTACTTTTTTTTTTTTTTTTTTACACTAAGTACTCAGTGGCCAGTTGCTTACTTAAAACACAGTATATATCACATCAAAGCAAAATCCATCCCAAATAGCATCCAGATGAGAGCCTCAGAGTGATAAGAATCTATTCCATCTCCTCTCTATTTCTCTGTGTAATGTTTTACTAGAGATTGGTGTCTATATAAGATTTATATCTAACTTAGAAGTTAGTATAGAAGCTGTGGTTAGTTAGGCTATGATTTTGACCAGGGCATTCATCAGAATAAAACTGCTTGCATTAGCTAAGTATTTAGTACTGCTATAAGTGATAATAGTTAGTCTTTACATACTAGAGAAGTAGAAAGTGGAAAACAAATTAGTTTTTAGTCTACCCCGTCATTCCACCAGTGTGAACCAGCACAGGAGGCATAATTCACAGGTGATAGAAACCCAATAGTAAATTAATTATTCCCTGGGCCAGGGAACAGTGGGGAAGTAGAAAATGGTGCATCATAAGACTTTCCTAATCATGATCTATCCTAAATCTTTGAATGACTTTGCACTGCTTAATCTTTATTCCTCACAGGGGGCAACCCCTATAGCCCCCTCCCCTGCTACCAAAAAACCCCACCACTCACTCAAACCCAGGACAATTCCTTGTTCTGCAATGCAGCTAGAAAGACCAGTCAAGAGAAAGAAAATTAAATTGTTTGTTTTTAATAAATGCAACAGCTGTGCTTCTTCATTTTCTTGGTAGACATGCAAGTGCCCACCATTGAGAAATCCCACAGCAGTCCAGGGAGCTCCAAATCTTCCTCTGAAGGACATCTACGCTCTCATGGTCCATCTCGCAGCCAAAGCAAAACCAGCGTCACTCAAACTCACCTTGAAGACGCTGGGGCAGCCATCGCCGCTGCTGAAGCAGCTGTCCAACAGCTTCGCCTTCAACCAAGTAAAAGACGCAAATAAATTCCTCAGCATGGCAGCTTAATGTTCATCTGTTGCCTTTTTCCCTGCTGTCCTTCTCTTTTTGGCTATTTTTTTCTGTTCTTGGCACACTGTGCTCACTCTGTTCAATGTCTTTCTTTGTGTGCCTGTGTGTGAATACATATAATTACAATATACTCTTGTATTTAGAAGTCTTGTATTTATTTATTTATTTATTTTAATTTATATAGACTGCAGTGAAACTGGCTGTTTCTCCATCAGTCCCTTCATTCATGGTCCATGATGTTCCATGGCTGTGCATGACTCACAGAAAATTCCATTGTGTGGTGGTGTTTTGATGTCACTAAGTAACTACAAATGAAATAATCAAAACCTGCAGAGATGCAGCTGCCAGGTCTTCAAGTTGCACATGACAAGTACTTGAGAGCACTTTAACAAGATATATCTATAAGTAGTAGTCAGGAAGGACAGTACTATATACACAAAAGAAGATTTCAAGAAAAAAGTTTTTTAACTACATGGCTGAGATTTCTATTTTTGAAACATGACTGTAAATATCTGATTTTTTTTGAAAGGAAATATAAGACAACTTTCTTAATATCGCAGATAAAATCAGCTGATGAGCAGAACAGCAATAGACAAAACCACTAAACACATCAAATACAAATCATTAAACATACAAAGCCATTAACAACACAAGATTTGAACAGTGTTATCAAGTTAGTAAAGTCAAAGGGAGTTGAAAGCTAAATCAGGTGTCATAGTTCAATTTTTCTTGTCATTTTTGTGCCGTGGATTGATTAAGGGTCAAGATAGATTTCATCTGACAACTTTAAATAGATGAGTAAATTAAAACTTTTCCATTCAAAAAGATTGCTCTCCAGAGTATACTTCAGACCATTATCTGATTGCTAGTTGAGGGTTTAGCTGATGACAAATTAAAAATCTCCAACTGTGGAATCATTGTGTTCGTCTTCAGAATTTGTTGATATGCCATAAACTTACCATGGTATAATGCCAAAACTGGGGGAAAATTATTTCCCTTGTCTTTAGCATCATTAATAAAGAAACAGCCAGTTTTAATACTCTTTAATGCTGTGCATGTGGTGTCTCTTTGGTGTTTGAAAACACTACTTACTTAAATACAGAAAAAAAACACTTCTGTTTGCATGAATAACATTTAAGCTGGTTCCATCTGAGGATACATACTCTGGGTTTCCATTTCACCCACACTGCCACAGCAGCACATAAAAGCGGTCAGTCTAATCATGCCAGGAAGCAGCACAGACACAGCATAGCAGGAGTCCTCCCTATTCAAAGAACTCAGTCTGACAATCTGCCTCCACCAGCCAATGACAACAAAGACCAAAGCCAACTAGCCCTCAGGAAAGTGATGTCTGATGGACCAGTCAAGCCTGAAGGAGGTGAGCAGAAAGACATGGTTAAGAAACCAACCACATCCCAAATCCTTCTTACCATGTCTGCTAATTCATTACGATATTGAATTATTTATTTTACCCCTCCATTAAGTGCTGTAAATGTTAACATGAATCAAGAACGCTGCCTGATTTTTCCACATCAGCACATAAATCCATAATTGAAAATATGCTAAGAAACATTACAAAACAACAAATGTGTGCACTTCCATTCCACTGGAGGACTTAGACTTCTGTTGAAAAATGGAATAGCTTTGCTCATGCTGTTGCCTAATAAAATGCATTCATCCAAGCCAGTCTGCTTAAGCATGATTGAACTTTTTTTGTACTGTGACAAAAACCTAATTGCAAATTTTTGTTTCTGGAATTCTAATTGGGACATGAAGAACTTATTTTTTGTCTCCCAACACAGCTGTTATGGCAAAAGTCATTAGCATAGATATTTTTCCAAACCACCAGTGGAAGGGAAAGGAGTTTTGATCCATATATAGCTCAATCTCTTGATAACGTTCCTATCTGCCTCTTAAAAAAATATTTTCTACCTGTAGGCACCTGTACATCAAACCTAAATGCCACATATCATCAGTTTCTTCCCTCATCACAAATAAAGAGCCAGAATCTCAACTGATTTAAATTGGTGCTGTTCTTATGACTTCTGGAGCATTTTGTTTATTTCCATGGAATCAGAGGGATTATCCCAACAAATTTACAGGCTGGACGCCCGGATATTCTCTTCTGCTGTAAATCCTTCCCAAGATCTCATGATTCATTGAAGGCTTTTTCTTTGTACACAGTTGCACATGGTGGACAATGCAATCTGGCTGAGAATGTTGTAGGAAAGACAGAATGATACTTCAAACAATATACCCTAAAGGCAATGAGTCATTAAGAGAATTAGTGTGATGTTAAAAGAGCTAATTAACAAGGACAAATTTAAAAAAATAATTTTAAACATTGTATTTAGAGATAGCAAGTCTTTTGTTATGAGAGTCTTAAGAACTCTTCCATAAATATATCTGTCTACACACATGTGTACATCCACCCATACACGTACCGTCTTACTCTACAGTTCAGCTCCAGACACTCAGTTCAGGCAAAAGCCAGACAATATCATGGTACTAGTTCAGGCATCATGACTGAAAGGCCTAATCTACTCCTGGGATGTATACCATAGAAATCTAAACAACTTTTAAGATCTTTTGAGGTATCATTTCTGTAGAGATTTAGCACAAAGACTTGTAGTCCTATGATGCATTTTGGCATAGACCATCAATGCTAAAACCTTTTGCTTATGATACAAGGTTGAATCAAGGTTCACTTACACTTTTATGGTAAGGAAGTAGCTAAGCAGTCAGCTTCAAGTAACCTTGCCATTTAACTGTTATACTAGCTTCTTTACTTTTAAAATTGCAAAAAGAGTATGTATCAATATGCACTTGGCTCAGTAATATTAGAAGCATTATAGACAGATATGGGAATAAGAGCCCACATTAATATCATTAATATATAAGTGAGGTTAGACTTACTATGAAGAGACATGGTACTTTCATCTTTGTACTTCTGACACATATACACAATACATGGTCACCTGCACAAAATTTAGAAGTCTGGTTTCAGATCTGTGAGAAGTTTTGGGTTCTTATTGTACCAGAACTAGTTTGTTCTAATTTATTTCTATGAGGTGGGCCAATAATTGCCATTTTGAGGTTAATGGATCTGATGCATCTCAGCAGGAACAAAAAGTAAGATTAGTTAATTGCAGTTTTGTGTAGTAAAATGAGAAGAGACAATGACCTTCAACAGAAAAAGCACCAAAGATGCTCAAAACAGCTTTCAATTTATAGAGTTCTTTAAAGAAGGAGGAGGTGATGAAGGAAGGAGGTTTATCCTGCAGTTCAAAAATTCTACAAGTTAAGAGTGTTGTGAACAATGAATGTTAGGGCATCATCAGTTTGCGAGTCCATTCCTCCAGGGACGCTGCATTGTTGTGGTACCCACCCCCATTACAACCTGCTTTATTGGCACCTGGAACTATTTTGTTTTTTTCAGCCCAAGCACACAAGGTGGTAGTAATCTAACAGGATTTCCACAAGGGTGATGGGAAGAATTCTATGCTGTGAGTGATCACCAGTCCTTCTCTACCTAAGAGAACCCTCACAAAGTTTCTTCCTTTAAACTAGTCTAATAGCTGCCTCAGTCATTCTTAGAGTGCCCCAGAGAAATCTTTCTCTACTTCTGACACCTAGGACCTTTTCTATTGGATGTATTTTGTCAGTTATTAATTGTTTGTCTGACGAGAAGTAAAAAGGAACTCATAGACAAAACCAGCACCCATGGTATACATATTTTGTGAATGCAGAGGAGTTGCATCAGTTTAAGTTTATTGGACTGAACTATTCCATATTCATTTTAAACAGTAAAAAAAAAAGTATTTTAATCAATATGGTTTAAAATTAAGGTGAAGCTACAACAGAAAACATTGGTCTTTGTTCAGCACCTTTGTAAAATCCAATATTTAATTACAGCATTTAATTAAAAATAAACACTGAATTATAATTTTCTTGTTGCCTGTGAGAGATAAGCATGTGATCTGTAAAGAAACCAATTGCATAATACACATTCCCATCACACTCCTCTGAGAGGAACAATAACATTTCAGAGCCAACCCTTTGAAGGTAGAAGTTGCAAGGGATCCAAGCCAGAGGGGGAGAGCAGTGCCTTGGTTTGAGTTAATTTGATTCCATTTTTGTGAAAAATCTGAATCATTTCCAATTACACATTCACATAAAATTAAGCACATTTCTTTCAACATAAATCTGTGTGTTAGAGTTTATCCACCAGGTAAGTCAGTTTTAGAGATAGTGCAAATCAGTCCACCTCCTTTTAAGTCAGTAATTTATCCCATTGAAGGATCACTCTATTATATGGAATTTTCTTGGTAGGTCACTTGTGGTTTAAATATAGTAAATTATTTTAGAATTCTTCAGATATTTGAAATTAGAAATATTCTGATGATATTTAGAAGTTCTCTGGATATATACATATAAAATAGTAGGTGTACCTGCAATATAGTTATTTACTCATTTTATATAAAAGGTCTATTCAAAGACAGTTTATAGTTGAATGAACTACATGCTTTAGTTTTAATAAATTACAATAAAGTGATTAAGATAGACAAGGAACAACAAAATTTCCCTTCACTGTCTATGTGAAGTAGAAAGGTGCGCCAGCTTTGCCTCACTAGAATAGACTGTTTAGTGTCCAGTGAAATAAGTTAGAGCACAAAAAAAAAAAAGATAGTGTTCACCATATAGTCATCATTGATCTACATAACTGATCATTTTTAAAGTACACAGTTTTATAGGGAGCTGTGGTCTCTACATGTGTATAGCTTAATGGGTAAAATTCAATGGGCTTACCCTTACTTGCAGAGGAAGAGGTTCCAGTTTTTCCCAAAAAGGGAAGAAGAAATCAAAAAAGAGAATTTCTAGAAAATTATTTTGGTTCTTCCTAGGATCTTTGGAGAACAGTGAATTAGTATTTACATAGCTCAGTAGATGATTTTAAGCCTGAACATCATTGTAGTCCTATGCATTTTTCTATCCTTCCAAACAAGCTCTTATGAGAGAGAAGATACAAGTCAATACACTGTTGTTTGAACATCATATGGTGATGGATGCCATATACACCTCCTCTTTTATTTGTCACACATTTAAAAAAAAAAAAAAAAACCAAACAAAAAAACAAAAACAACAAAGAGGCAAACAACCTGCCAGGAAAAAAGTACTGCTGTACTCTTGACCTAAATTAGTTTGCAAATGTTAAAGATCTAGAGAAAACACTATGTGTTTCAGTTAAAGGTCCAAACATACCTGTATGGTAATACAAACAATATATTTCTACAGCAATTGCTGTCTACTTTTCCTATATTTTTTTACTCCATAATAGAAAGGGTTTTTTTCAACCCCAAACCTCTGGAAATTCAAAATCACATTTCCTGAAAATCTCCAGATCTAATTCATGTACCCAGAACCTATTTATTCCTTCCATCTCATAGAGAACATTCCATCTTTTACATTATAAATTTTTCATTGTGACACAAAAGCTTTTCTGTGATATCCTAAGAGGAAACTACTTTCCAAATACTTGTTTGTCAAGTGATTTTACTGGTCAGAGGGAGGTCTGCTATCAGAGATAATACTGTTACCTAGAATATCTAGAGTAGACAGACTGTGCATCAGCATTTTTACAACTATACCCAAATGAGTCTGTCAATTTATACCTCTCAAAGACCTCCCATTTAAAACACTTCAGTTCAAAAGGCAGCATACCTGCTTTTAATTCCCTTGGTCCAACAACTTTGATGAAAGTTCACATAAGTGTGAGCGTAAGAGGTAAAAGCTACACAAAAAATGTGATGTGATGTATGTACCAAGATATTGCTAGCACTGTAAAATCCATGATACAGGTCTGAGCCAGCACTGTGTAATTTCTAGCCACTTAGCTGTAAGAAATTAAAATTGACAGGAGTTTTCCTTATCACTGAGTTCTACTTACTGTTATTAGCAACAATGCAGAGTGAAAGGAAATTGATTCCTAACTTCTATAAATCTTTTGGATTGGATATGATTGTGGATTTAAATACCTGCTTATTTGGCGTGCCTTTAGGTCTATGCCCATTTTCACATTTTTAATAGGCAATGCCATATTTTGATTTCCTACAATAACTGAGGATGTTTCCTTCACACCTTAAATAATTTACTGCCCAAAGCTGTTTATGCTTAGCTTCACTAGTCTCTTAATTTCCAAGTTAAATTGGCCTTCATATTGCTACAAATAACCCATTTCCAAGAATCATTATCAAAACAAGAACAGTTTGTCCTCACTCTCTGAAGACAGCAATAATCTGAGCTTGTCTTTTGAGTCTTGTTTCAGTCTAATAGCTGGCATATTTTGCTTTGGCTATTCTTGCTATTTACTCTTCTACC